GAGGAGCTCGGGGAGGCAGGGAGGAGGAGGAGGAGTGGAAGTGGGGAAGGAGGCAGGGAGGAGGAAGAAGAAATCTCAAGTTGAATGGGAAGGGATGGGAAGGTCAAGAGCATTTTAATGGTAGGTAGGACTTGAAGAATTGAAAGGAAAATGAGTATGTTCAAAATATGTTATATTGGTGGAGCATTGGTAGTGTAGTAGGAGCATGACTGCCTTCCAAAATACATTGCATGAAATTCTCAAAGAAAAATAAAGTATATTTTAATGTAACCTTTTAACAAAATGTTATGTCATCACTATTTTAATCATTATTCTGTTTAGTTGTATTTAACTAGCCCTCCCAACCTTGAGATTGTAGCATTTCGCTATTGTAAGAGTGTGATGTGTACTTTGGGAGTTGACAGAGGGAGAGATTTGGAGGGAGAATAGATTTAAGATCAGTGTTGTGGACACTTAAAACCTGGAGAAATTCTCTTCACACTTTTCATAAATTATTGTTACCTCCCTAAAAGATGTTTGAAAAACTTCCTTAGGTTTTAAAGCCTTTGAAGTAGACAGCTGTGATTTCTGTTGAATGTAAATGTGTGTAGAACCTGTTGTTCGTGGCAGATCTTAAATAAATATTTCTTCAAATTAAACCGTGACATTAATTTGAGCAATGTTCTTCATGGTATCAAAGTACTGTGACTTGATGTTTTCTCTCTCTCTTTTATTATTTGTGAAAAAAAATAGCTTTAGACTCAGTGTTTTGGACATATGCAATTCCACTATAAGCTCTGATAAAGTTTTATGTTGGCAGGAGAAATGGAAGATGCTATCTGGCAGGATTTTAAAAAGATAAAGGAGGTCTTATTCCCCTCTCTCAAGTAGAGTTCATACAGCTCTTAGCACCACGCAAATGAGAGTTATATCAGTAGGACCAGGAGTTACTCAGGGGCAGTAGTGCATGTCGTACCTCTGTGATCATGAGAAGCCCATGCCTCGAGGGATGGCAGATGTAGCCATTTATTAATTCTAGCATTTTATTTTTGGTGTGTACAGCTAATCATTTCTTTATTTAAAAAAAAGAGCAACAATGTATAAGTCCTTTTGCATGAATCAGGTTAATGAAATGACCTACTCTTCATCTTTAAAATTTTAGATGTACCCAATATTTCTTAAAACATATATTCAATATTTAAATGATTCCTATTCTTTAAGATTATTTCATCCTAGTTTTCTCTTTTCTATCTGTTTTTTGGTCCTTTTATTCTCATCTGAATTTCACATATGAGCCAATTAGGCAAAAGATATTAAATTAACTGATTTTATAAATTAATTGATTTTGTTATTTATTTAACAAAAATCATACTTAGGCCACAGGCCAATTACAGTCTTCTGTATAATTTATGACTGTGGGTATTAGACTTGTAGATTCATTGATAAGTTTATGGCATATTTATGAGCCAAAAATACCATATGATTTTTATATTAGAGATCATCTGGCTTGCTTATACTGATAAGAGAGCAAAGAAGGCATGGATTTCTTTTGACACCGGATACTTTAATCTCTTGAGGATGAATTTTCTGCTTAAAGATGTGGTTGATATGTGTTTGCTTTCACAGCACTACTGCTGGACTACTCCCCAAACTGAATTAAGATAGATGATTGACAGAGTGACAGATGGTAATTTCCATTTTAGCTGAGGTCCTGATAAAACCGATGCCAACTGTATCTGTGTTCTAAAAAGAGGTATGGAGCCATCTGCATGGGTCCTTTGAAATGAGTACTGAGTGAAAAGGAGGTGCTCTCCTTAGACCTCAGATGCAAGGGAGGGGCTCACAAACTCTTCAGAGGATGGGAGACACTGCATAGATGTATTCACTTCATGCCTGGGATGACTCAAAGTTCATCATCAGGCTGAGGAACTGTGGCTGTAAGCACCACATCTCAGAGTTATGCTGCCCTGAGCCAGGGCATCATCCTTTAGTTCCTTGTTTTTCTATCACTGAGAAAACTGTATTTAAAAAGGAAAGATGCTCAGCCATCAAAGACTAGGCTCACACCAAAAAACTATGAAGAAGGAAAGATTGCCTTCATCTCATGATTTCAGAGATTTCGATCCATAGCCTCTTGGCCTCGTTCCTCCAAGCTGTGGTGAAGTAGCATAGCACAGTGGAAGTGTGTGGTAGAGCCGTACTGCTCACTTCATAGTGGTTAGGAAGAAAAGGGGAAGGAGATGAAGAGAGAAAGAAAGAGCACTTTTATAAAAATCATTTCTCCCAAACCACTATGATCTGTGTCTATAGATGTATTAATTAATTAATTATTAATCCACTTTTGAGATTGAAGCCCTCATGATTTCCCCACCCACAAAGGTGCTGCTCAACACGGCTGAATTGGGAGCCTGATCTTCAGTACACGAACATTGGAGGATACTTGGGATCTATGCCAAAGCAGCTCAAAGCACTTAGTTTCGTTCTGAGCTTTTTTACTGACTTGTGATTTATTTAAGAGAAGATTGTTTCCTTTCCAAATATTTGGGGACTTTTTCCAGGGGCCTCTACAGTTGTTTATTTCTAAGTTAATTCCTCTGTAGCCAGAGAAGTTCCTCTGATGGTCTGACCCCTCTTTAGCTGTCAGGGTCTTCTCACTCCACAATGGCCCAGAAGCTCCTTAGGGAGTGAGATGCAGCTTTTACAGGCACTGTTTCATCCCTTACCTTGCAGGGATTGCTGCCCTTTGTTGCCCTGTGTCTTCAGAATCTTGCTTTATACAACCTATTTCCAGTTCTTTCAGACAGGAAGGTAAATCTGTTGCTTGCTCCTCTTTCTTGCTTAAAAGCTCACACTTACTTCTAAGGTTTACCACACTTTTTATGTACTTATGTGGAAGTTTGTACACCTGGGTACTTTACTCAGGTCTATGTTTACACACAACATAGTAAGAAGTCGATGGAAAGTAGATGAACTATGTGTTTCCATGTTATCTTTCAGAAAGAACCCAGAGTTTATGAGAAAATAGTGGAATTTATTAAAGATACAGCATTAGAACATCAAATAATAATAATAACAATAATAATTAATAAAGACATGTCCCTAAGTTTGATGCTGATTGACCATAGAAATAAAGTGGTAAAATATGATTTCATACAGAGACACAAGACATCTAGGATTCAAGGTTCTGCACTCCACTGGAAGATACTGACAAGTGATTTAACCCATCTAAAATACTAATGAAAAAATAGCTGGTGAATCTGTAGTAATTTTCTGGACACTATTCACAGAGATTCTGGTTAAATAGGTTTGAGATAAGACTCTAAATCTCTAGTTTTTTGAAACTCTGTTCAGGTTGTATTGACATAAAATTGATTTGAAGATCCACTGATGCTCTGACTTCTTACTCTGCTTTTTGGGTGTAGACATGCTTGTTTCTAGCCATGGTAGTCATCATTTGGTTGACAGGGTTGACAGTGGATGTGTATTGTGCCAGTCACTTTGTTTATGAATCAGAGGTGCATCCTTGAACCCAACAGTTTTGCACAGTCGTTCTTACTGCACTCATTTTTTTTTTTCTCCAAGAAAGTTGCCATTTCTTTCTTGCCTAGTAATTTTCCTAAGGCCACCTGGGGAATCCTCCTGGATAGCCATGGACTTAGATTTTGTTTGCAGTCCTGAACCAAAGTGATAGCTGTCAACAATACTCTGTACAGACTCAGGATTTTTATGATATTGGCTGACTGGAGTCAAGTTTGTGAAAGGGATTATAAGAAGTGATCTTCTAAGTTTTATCAAAGAGAACCAAGAAGAGACATTCTTGGGTGATTTTGAGATCCCAGTACTTCATAGAGCACTTATACATTTGTTCCAGCGAGGTTTCCTGAGCTGGGGTCATGATGGGGATTTGCCTACAGTCTAGTGACACAAGGGAATGTGTATGTCTGTGCTCTTTCCTGTCATCTTTAACAGTGTGCTGGCCTTCGTCCTTGGGTAACTTTTGTGCACTTACAGTTGTCAGCGTCTCCCCTCCTATCCACTTCCACTGACCACCCTTTTATCCTTCTTATTCATGTCTTCCATTATTTTGTCACTCAAAGCAGCAGGGCTTCCCACCAGGCACATAGGTCTCATTTTCAACCTCAAAACACTTATTGAGAACAGGTGGAGTTGTGAAGCGCATGGATGACTATTGTATGGATCAGACAACTTCCAATCCTGTGAATCAGCTACATTAGAAAATAAGAGTCAGGGGTTCCACCCATATCCTAAGGAAGAATAACAGTTAACAAAATGTAAAAGTTTCCATCTTAGTTAGATTTTCAAAAGAGAAATCCTTGTGCTTGAGTACTGTGGGGGGAGACCTCAGTCTGTGGTTACTAATTTAAATTCTATCCGTCCTTCCCTTTCCCACCCAACCGCCTTTGTCTTCTTTCCCTGTTTTTAATTGGTGCTTTCTGCAAACTTGAGCTGATCTGAATGGAAGTACAAAGTGAAATTAACCAAGTCCCTTGGAAGATGTCAGGGTAGCAATACGTTAGGAAGCTTGTTAATTCCTCTTTTCTCTCTTCCTCCTTGCTCTGCTCTCAGGCTTCCCTGGGAACCCCAGGAGAAGGAGAATTAAGAAAGCCCTGAAGCTGAATGCTACAGCCTTTCCAGGGAATTGGCTAATTTCATCTTCCTGCACCATTTGGAGCAGCTGGGGGTACTGGTCTTGGGGGAAATAATAGGATGCAATGCTTATAACCCTTTACATTCTTAAATGAAATTGTGCCCAGTTTACTTATCAAACTAAAAGATAAATGGTGTTCACCACATGCCTCCTCTACCCCTGCTTGTACACTGTGATCTTAAAAATTGTATTTCTTCTTCAGTGTTGACTTGGTAAGCCAGTTAGAACTTCCCAGATTAGTTTTTTTTTTTTTAATTCTAAACATGTA